GAGAGAGAGAGAGAGAGAGAGAGAGAGAGAGAGAGAGAGAGAGAGAGTGAGAGTTCTGGGTAGCAACAAAAACAACAACATGAGCACATGCTGTAACGTTACATAATGTGTTACACAAACATGTAACGTTAGATCCCTAAGAGGCCACAGGAAGTTGTACATTATGTGTAAATATAGGCTAAGAGCTGATGCCGACAGGCTGTTTGAGAGGCAGTCTGGCTGTGTACTAATCCTCTTAACTAGCTGACGGTAACTTATAAAGGAAATGACTGCCAAGGCAAGCTATCAGCTAGCTAAACGCAACTAATTGCTAAATTACATTTATTAAAATGATATGATACGCGCTAAATGCACCAATCGTAGCTACCTAGGTCTAGGCTGCTTTAAATCGTAAACTTCTTTGTGATTTAATCGACATAACATAACATTACATTTAATTGTACTGCGCTGCACCGTTACCCATCTTAGTTATTAACCCATGACAAACCCGTTTCCGTCTAACAAGCTAACAGTTAGCCAGCAGCTAACACAACGTTGCTCGAGTGAACATTAACGTTACAAGTCTCTTGTTAGCCACCGTGCTTACACTACTGCAGCTAAGCTAACTTAGCTGTAGCCGCGGAGTTAAACGTTACTTTACCTTTTGTTTCACATAAATACAGAATGCGGTAACAAATCTCGGTTTGAGGCTGGAAACCGAATCTGTACCATCCGCTGCTGCTGTTGTTCCTCCGCCAACTGAACGGATCCCATCAGAGACACAACGGCCGCTTGTTTCATTTCACCGCGCCGCCCGTTGAGACGCCACGCTTTATGTTGTCTGAGGAACCGTTTGCGGATTTCCTGCCTGCACGGTGTCTGACTCATTACATTACATTTACCGACCACAGCCAACACTCGGGTAGCAGTTTTTTCAAGACTCTTCTTGAAATATTGCTGCTGATGTAGCTAAAGAGATTCTAGTTTTATTCTGCCTTAAAACCACAAACCACTACAGATGCACAAAACGAACGAACCTAACAAAGAGTTGTTGAGTTGGCTGGAAGAACCTAGAAAATAAGACTTTCGAAAGGATTCAAAGTGTCGTAAATACCATGTTTGAATGCAAAATATGTACTTTTTATTGCGCACGTGCCATATTCGTAATATAGCAATAAAATAACAATATCCAACATAAAATACAACCGGAAATACACATTTCCTATTTATCATTAGCATAATTATCTACCCATAATTTAGACACTTCTGCTTTTCGCTTGAATTGAAGTTCACACCAAACACAACGTTATTGATGATAACGTTTGAAACAATTAACACTTTGTTTTTTTATTTACAGTGGAAGAATTACAACTACTTGCAGCATCTGTTTAATTCCGTCCTTTCTTTGTATCATGATATGTTATGCACAACAATTAACTAAGACTAATGCAATGCATTTTGCTTGCAAAAAGGGTGCTGCCTGATGTGTAATTAGAACAACTTTGTTGTAACGCCCTATGATTGGTGTGAGAACACACTTTTTTCGAGGACTTTCTGTACTGTTGTCTGCTGAATCTCTGAGTACCACATATATACTTAACCCAGGACACATAAAGTGATAAATAGCAGTCCAAGATGTTTGCCTCATTGATGCTGAAAGGCAGGCCTTGGAACATGTGTGAACATCATGTGTTTGAGCCCCGGCCTTTATTGAAAATAACAAAGTAAAGAGAGCTGGTGTAGGCTGTGATGAAGAAATATGAGTCATTTCAGAGATTTCTCTTTTGTGTTCAGTATTCACCTTGATGTTTAATCCCCCAAGCTCTGATAAAATGTAAATATATTATTTATCCATCAAGTATGGTGCTTACTTACTTGCTTTTACACATTTTTGTTCAAAAGTCATTATAATTGATTATCATATAAAATCATTTATAGACCGTGTAGTTGTTGTAGCTTAATTGCTTTTGTTTACCTTCTGTGCTTTTGTATAAATCGTTAATATATGCCTTAGTTTGTAGCGGCTTTTATTCTGAAGTACACACGGACCGGAAATGGTTGATCTGTTTTAGCTCACGTAGCAAAGTTGCGTGATATGCAGTGCGATGAGGGTTGTGCTCATGTCAGAGAAGGTATTATCCTGTCAACAAACTCACATACAGTGCGATTTATCAAGTCGATTAAATGGACATTTCTTGACCGGAGCCTTATGAGTTCAAGGAGAGCGGTGAGATTGCTTTAGCAGTCGTGAATTGCAATTAAAGCGTTGCAAATGTGAACGTTTCATGAAGTGGACGTTTTGTTTAGCTAGCAAGGTATAACGCAAACACGCTAACGGCAGCGACAGGTCTCCAAGGCCCTGCTGCATAGGTAGCTCACGATCCGTGCAGGCTAACAGCGCCTTAACGGTAAATAATTGTCAGCATTTTGCGAAACAATCAGCCAATTATAATACTGACAGAGATGCAAAGCTAACATTAGCTTATGAACTCGCCTTGTAGGTGTTCGTTGACGGGAGAAGACCCCACTGTGTTTGTGGTCTGTGGTCCAGCTAACCTTATGTGACATGCTTGTGTTGAGCCTGTATTTAAATAACCCATAATGAGTGTATAATTCAAATTGTTCACCACCTTGTCTTTACCTTTGCTCTATAACTGACATTAACGTAACGTAAAATCCCTGTCCTACCTGTGTTATTTAACCTTATCATCTCTTCGTGTTTTCAACATTCAGCTTATTCTCGGGGGGAAATAGAGTAAATGTCATCTGAGCTCAGACCCCCTGGAACATCCAGACCCTGATTTATGTTGTGTGGTGTGGCCACCATGACTACTGTCAACATCACCAGAGACATCCTGCACCGGCAGATCCGAGTGAGTAAACAAATGGCAGAAGTGATGGAGGTTGGGCTAACCTGAAAAAAGACTCCTCGACCAAAATTATTGTTTCCATTTTTTGTGTGGATAATTTCTTATGCACTGACGGAGACTTTGACTCGTGTCTTCAGGACAAGAGAGCAGCCGCCTTCCAAAGGTCCTATCATGTGACTGACCCTTTCATCAAAAGACTTGGACTGGAGGCTGAGCTTCAGGTCAGTGTGACAGCAAGTGTGTGTGTGTGTGTGTGTGTGTGTGTGTGTGTGTGTGTGTGTGTGTGTGTGTGTGTGTGTGTGTGAGTGATCAATGTGTCTGTGCATTATCATAACTCACAGTTTATACTGTCTGTCTCAACAGGGCCATACTGGCTGTGTGAACTGTTTGGAATGGAATGAACAAGGAGAGTAAGTCTTGTAAATTGCACCTTAAGTACAATTATAGTCTCTAACCTCGGATCACTGGCTGCTTTACAACATTATACAACTATAGTTTTGTCGTTAGGTCTATTACATATCTATAAAGTATTAGGTACACACTGTATATACCACAAAGGCCTATTACGGCTGAGGTGTAGGCCTAAATAAAATGAGTATGCACCACCATGTCTCACTCACTACTCTGTTATGGGATTGGTATTCCTCCCAAAAAATGCTCTTTAAGCAGTTAGTTATTGCCTCACACTTGACACTTCTTTTTTGAAGAAAAAAACAGCCAGCAATGGATTCAGCTCATACATTTCCTGTTGTATTAGACCTAAAGGCTCGTCCCGAGGTCTACAGGTAGTAAGAGTATACAGTGAGGTCTCTGTTGCACATCCTAACATGCTTCACAGTGTCCGATTTTAAATGGCATTAGTAGTAAAGAGTCTAATCAAATGTAGCTTGACTTGTCCTGGTGATTTTTTTTTCTTTTCAGTTTACTGGCCTCGGGCTCAGATGATCAACATGCCATCATCTGGGATCCATTCAGACACAAGAAGCTTACAACTATGCACACGGGTCATGCAGCAAATATATTCTCTGTAAAGGTAAGCGGGGGCTGATTGAAAGATTGCTGTATTGAATGGGAAGAGGGAAAGTTGGCTTCATTTCCATACACATAGATCATCTAGTCATGATGCGATTCAAATGTATCTGGAAGTAATGTGCTAAAGTTCTCTGCTGGTAAGACACATTGCTCAGCTTCACCGTACTCTTTCTTTAGTCATCAACAATATCTCCCTATAATACAATTGAACGTCCTCTACAATAGGTGGCACTGTTGGCCATTTAATGAGTGGCTTGTTGTTTGATTGAAAGCCGTCTTTGTAGACGTTCGACGATGTTGAAGCCGGTCAAGCCGTTGTGAAACATTTTGTCTGTGCTTATCAATTCATTCTCGTGTTTTTTTTGTTTGCCCGTACAGTTCCTCCCTCACTCGGGGGACAGAATTTTGATAACGGGTGCGGCCGACACAAAGGTCCACGTGCACGACCTGAGTGTGAAGGAAACCATCCATATGTTTTCTGATCATACAAACAGAGTGAAACGCATTGCCACGGCGCCCATGTGGCCCAACACCTTCTGGAGTGCTGCGGAGGATGGCATCATCAGGTCAGAATGAAACCACCGCGTTGTGTTTTTTTAACAAAAGTCACAAAGATATCCCGTGCCTAATTTAGCTCCAGGTAAAGTGTTTACTTTCTCCTTGTTTACTGCAGACAATATGACTTGAGGGAGAGCAGTAAGCGCTCGGAGGTGCTGATTGACCTGACGGAGTTCTGCGGTCAGCTGGTTGAGGCCAAGTGTCTGGCGGTCAACCCACGGGACAACAACTACATGGCGGTGGGAGCCAACGGGCCTTTTGTTCGCCTTTATGACATCAGGATGATTAACAACTACAGGTTGGTCAAGTGTCTGATGTCATTCTATGGTAATAAGTATTCAACAACAACTCAAATGTGGCAAATTCCCCATTCCAGGTGTTGACATGCACATGCACACAACTGGGTTTAACCACGTATTTTTTTTTTTTCGTTGCACAGAAAATCTGTAAATCAGAGCACATCAGCAGCTGTGCACACGTTCTGTGAAAGGGAGAAGCCCATCCCAGACGGAGCTGGGCAGTATTATGTTGCAGGTGTGATAAATACATTTGTATTCTAATTATATAGCGATGACATGAGGAAATGGTCAGTTTGAAAGCGACTCTGCAGGATGTGGTTGTATAACATTACGTTCTGTTCATGCTTCAATGCTCCAGGGCACCTGCCAGTGAAACTCCCAGACTACAATAATCGCCTGAGGGTTCTGGTGGCCACCTACGTCACCTTCAGCCCCGACGGCACTGAGCTACTAGTCAACATGGGTGGGGAACAGGTGATGCTTCTCAGAACAATCAAGCAGTGGTGAGAGGAGTTATTTATTTCCGCTTCAGCGTTTAAACATTTGTTTATCTTTATGGTTCTTCTAGGTGTATCTGTTTGACTTGACATTTAAACAGAAGCCATACACCTTCTTACTCCCCAAAAAGTGCCAGTCATCAACAGGTAGGTCTGTGCGTTATACATTCACAGCAGATCTTGAATGGTGCCTCATAAAGATACACAAAGTACCGTAGCTCTAGACGTGTTTGTGGTTTCTGAAAACTTTGGCTTCCTTAGCAGACGTACAGAACGGAAAGACAACCAATGGCGTCTCAAACGGAATTTTCTTGCCAACCAGCCATATTCGAATTGCCGGAAGCAAGATGCGTTCGAGGTTTGTCTGTTCACCCTGTCAGTGATCGTTTTTTCTACATCGATTGGGTGTTTGATGGTCTGAGCATGCACACACTTGAGTTATGTTTCCTCTGCTCTCCGTTTCTTTTTAGTTCTACTGAGCTATCCGCTCACTTGGAGACGATAAAGCAACAAGCTAATGATGCATTTGCACGTCAGCAGTGGACGCAGGCTATCCAGCTGTACAGTTTAGGCATTCATCAGGCCAGCTGCAACGCCATGCTGTACGGGAACCGGGCAGCAGCATACATGAAACGCAAGTGGTAAGCCTCTTTGCATCACTCCACGGAGATGATCACCTTCTGAACGCCGTTATCAAAAGCAGTTATCAAGTGTTTGTTGACGTGTGCGATTCGCAGGGACGGAGACCATTATGACGCCCTTAGGGACTGCCTGAAGGCTCTGACTCTAAACCCTGGTCATTTGAAGGCTCATTTCAGGCTGGCACGCTGTCTGTTTGAGCTGAAGTATGTGTCTGAAGCTCTCGAGTGTCTCGATGATTTCAAAGGAAAGTTTCCAGAGCAGGCGCAGAGTAGTGCCTGTGATTCTTTGGATAAAGATATCAAGGCGGCTCTCTTCACCAAGACGGAAACAGGTAGAAAAGAGTGAACTGGTGCTCGGCTGATTTGTTGTTAGTTTTTTTGCATATCAAGAGTAACAGAATGCTTTTGTTTATTTGTAAAAGTAACTGATCGACTTTGTGGTAATAAGTCTGATTTATTTTCTTTACGCCCTCACCAGCAGAAGATAAGAAGGCCAACAGCTCCATTCGATTCCACTCCTTCAATCGTAAGGAGTCCATCCCTGAAGATGAGTTGGTGCTGAGAGAGCGCAGCTTTGACTACAAGCACAGATACTGTGGTCACTGCAACACCACCACCGACATCAAAGAGGCCAACTTCTTTGGAAGGTCAGTAGATCTCACTAGGTCACCAGCTCTGTAGCTAAAGACAGAGATCAGTAAAGCTTCCAGTGAAAAGTAGCTTCCATTCATAAATATAGTCTCTAGGAAACTGTAGAGACCAGGTTTTGTTTTTCCAAATGTGATTACGACGACATGTCCCATGAACATGGCTCGTCAGGCAAGTCTGTGTGGTTTCTCTTTCTCTACAGCAAAGGCCAGTACATTGTCAGCGGCTCAGACGACGGCTCCTTCTTCATCTGGGAAAAGGAGACCACCAATCTGGTGAGGATCCTGCAGGGGGATGAGTCCATCGTCAACTGCCTGCAGCCCCACCCCAACTACTGCTTCCTGGCTACGAGTGGTATCGACCCTGTGGTTCGATTGTGGAACCCAAGACCAGAGGTAAACAACTGAAACGGATTCATAAATGCATTTTGTCATATTTTGACAAAACCTGGGGCACAACCGTGTGTGTGTGTGTCATGATTTCATTACATAATTCCAAAATCACCATTTACCATTACAGCTGATTCTGTCTCCCTTTCTTACCGTGAGACTTTCTCCTCCCCTCTACTGCGCTCTATAACACAGACGGAGACTGAGAACGGGCGAGTGGTGGAGGACATGGAGAGCGCTGCTCAGGCGAACCAGCGGCGCATGAACGCCGATCCCCTGGAGGTGATGCTGCTCAACATGGGCTATCGCATCACAGGCCTGCGTGGCGTCGGCCCGGATGGCTCGGATGACGAAGACAGCTCAGAGGGACAAGTGCAGTGTCGGCCAAGCTAAGCAAACTGTCCGCCATTCTAGAGCATGGATGTAGGAAGCGAAGCTCTCTCCCAGCTCCCGTTTGAATCTTTATCCCCCCCCCCCCCCAATCTGACAGAAACATTGAGTGAATGCCATGTCACATCTCTGCACTATGCATCGCCTTCCCCTGTCCAAAGAGAGGACTGGTGGAGACCACTTTGGGGAGAGGAATTCATGGAGGGTCTAGAAGACACCCATCTCGCCCCCTTCAAAGCACCAACCTCAGCCTCTCCCTCCACAGGGGGGGGGGGCACCTTTTGAGGAGAGCACCTTCCACGTCACTCCCCAGTTTCTCACGAAGAAGGAGGAGGAGTTCGGCACTTATGCCTCCTCAGGTTTACGTTGGAGAGATGCACAAACACGCCTGCACTCGGACGACCTGTTTTCAGGTGGGTGTGGCCACACAGTCGCAGCGTCGTCCACGGAGGATCGGATCACAGACTAGAAGACAGTGCTTTGTCGCATTCAGCTCAGAGTCTTAGGGCCCGCTCACATCAGAAAGGCTGCACACCCCCGAGTCATTAATTCTGAGTTAGACTCTGTCATGTTTTCAGTGTTTATGTTTCGGAGTTTTGTTCACAGGAAGCCTAGAATTAATTGTTGCTCCAGTGAAATGTATTTATAAGCCCGATTTAGTTTATATCTGTGAGAAAGAACAAGTGGTTTCTTCTGCCAAAGGTTGTCATTTCAACAGCCAAGGATTAATGTCTGCTTTCTTTGTTTCCTTGAAACATACTTTTGCCATTCTGTACTCCTTTTAGCCAAAAGGTTTTACTACAATAGATTGTTGACAAGGTCATCAAGATATCTAAAGAGAAAACATTTGTTTAAAAAAAAGAAAAGAAAAGAGAAAAAAAAACTTTCTAATACATTTTTTTTTGTTATAAATAAAGTCCTATTAATTGCAAATGTTGTTTGGCAAATTTATTTTAAATTTTTCGTGGCTAGCTAGCTAGCTGCGTGGCTCTGCAGTCAGGTGTTGAGTCCTGCTTGCATGAGGCTTCTCTGCCTATAGGTTTAGGCACAAAAGGACACAGAGCCATCTATCTGTTGCTCAGAGAACAGTTCATTGGCTCTTCTTTGCCCCAAAATAGGGTCAAGACTATGTAAAGGGTCCTCAACCACATGCAACACTCGGCTTCCATGTGTTTTACTTTGCTCATTAATTTGAGTTGTTTTTCTTTGAAGAATACTATGATAACCTTTTGTTGCAAACAAAGTCAACAATAAAATTATTGAACACCGTGCCTGTATTGTCTTACTTTGCTTTTTCTTGAAATGATCATACAAATGATTAATTGTTTGTCCTTTTAGGTGTAACAGTTACACAACAGATACAGCAGTACTGACACATTATTAACTAGGCTGGAGAGATGTACTGTAGGTGACACTCTCTAATACCCTGCTCCTTCATCAGTGTCTGCTCTGCTCCCTGCTTTTGCTGACTATTGGGCAACAAATATGAGGACAGTCCATGAGTAGTTAGGAGTGCATCTTCTGCCCCATATACTGCGCAGCAATGAGGTGACCCAGTTTTGGTAGTAGTGGTGGTTGCAGTGATAAAGCTCATGGCCGACCGAGCCAAAAGCAACACATGAACACATTCAACACTATAAAGTAGCCATTGTATACTGTGTTCCTTGCAGTAATAACTCATTGCTCTTGTCCATGGCGCAGTTCATATGTCTTTATGAATAATCATACAACAAATAGCCTAATTCGAAATGCTTAAAACCTCGCTGTATTTCTTAATCCTGCTCACATGGAAAACAAGTACTGCATGCGTACATATAAACCGTGATGCGTTCACGGACCGAAGGTTGGTGTTGCGTTCACGGACCGACAGCTGGTTCTGCTGCGGAGGCTTCGACTGGCCGCTGCCGCTCCCACGCCGCCTGGCGCCGGCTCCGCGTCACTGCCGTCTCGTGTCACTCTCCAGGCAGTGATGGCGGAGGTGGACGAGACCGAGATCATGATGAACTACCACGGAGACTTCTTGAAAGGCGACAAGAAAGACAGCCGCTACCCGTACTGCATTGTCTGGACGCCTATTCCTATTTTATCGTAAGAAGCTAACACGTGTTATTCTTGCAGGCTTAGCGTGGGATGTTACAGCAGTGTTGTTATTTTTGCTGACGTCAAATGAAGTGAAGCAGGTTTATGTTAGCCGCTGGTTGAACCTCATGTTATCTATTTCCTTTCAGTAAATGACTGCATTGAATGTAATGTATTGTATGTGTATTGTGATTCACAATTAAGGGATATCGATGCATTGCTATCTGTTGGTTGCATCCTGCAGGTGGGTGCTGCCCTTCATCGGTCACATGGGTATATGCACCTCTTCTGGAATCATACGAGATTTTGCAGGATCATACTTTGTCTCGGTGAGTATTGTTTTTTTGTTTTGTTGCTGTTTTTAAAAACTTAAATGATATGCAATTATTACCTACGATATGTATCAGGCGACAGATGAGAGAACCTTCAATCTGAGATGTCATGCTGACGTGCAGAGTAAAGCTGCTGAATTGTTAATGAATGGGAGTTGCAGTCATGGCTGAATTCCACGATAACTTCAAGCATAGATGTATGATTTATTGAATAAGTCAAAATGTGTTGTTTTTTTTCAGGAAGACAACATGGGCTTTGGTAAACCAACAAAGTAAGTATTGATTAATATATCGTGTAATAATTGTAATTTACACCTCATCACACAGTTAAGTGAATGCATTGGTTAACAATATTGCAGGTATTGGAAGCTTGATGTGGACAAAGTTTGTAGTAATGGTGCTGCTACATGGGACAAAGCAGTGCATGACGCCTCTGAGGAGTACAAATGTAGGCCGGTAAGATGATATTTAGCACGTTTGACGCACGTATTTCTGCATTATTAGTCATATTGTAATAATGACTTCTTTTCTGTTTTGTTGAAGCACAATCTGTGCTTAGATAACTGCCATTCCCACGTTGCCATGGCCCTCAACCTTATGCACTACGACAACAGCACGTCTTGGAACATGATGAACCTGTGCGCGCTGTCTCTTATTCGTGGAAAACATGTGAAGTAAGTATTTGTAATACCGTGAAGAACTGTTGACATATAGAACCCAGACACACTTCCAGGTTAGCATCTCATAGAGCATATATTTAATCTGTCTCTCTGTTCACGCATGATAGTGGGCTCTTCTCTTTAGATGGGGACATTTTAGTGTGGAAAGATAGCGACACGGTTAGGGTTCCTCTTCCAGGACAGACAGACATGCAGAAGGTGACGTATACACAAAGAAGAGAGAAGAAGCAGTCGTAGAGTCACACGCAAGCCGAACAGTTCTGGGCCAAACACACCTGAAGCATCTTGATCACACAGTGGTTTTACATTGCTCTGCTGCTGGATGCTAGTGAGCATTAAGAGACGTATGGCTTTGAGAACCCCTCATTATTCTCCTCTGACCCACATTGAGACTCCGCTGTTTGTGCTGCCTCTGCACATACACTCCCAGCAGCCTTTTAAACAGAAGGGGAGTCGTGTAATTCATCACTGACAGCGGCGCTCCCCTCTGTGGCCCCACCGCTGAAGGTCACCTCACCGGTGGGGCTCCCTGCACCGGCTGGGTGGAAAGGACAGTAGGACGCAGGCTGGGGTGCGTTCACGGGTGGAGAGAGAGGAGCTGTGGGCCTCGTGGAGTAAAGAGATTGGACCATGTGATACTCCAACACACCTCACATGTCCTGGTCTGTCGTGTTAATGATTACTCTTAACATGTTCCCCTCTCTGTATCCCCCAGCTGGGCTGCGTTCCTCAAGACCTGGCTGCCCTTCTTCATGCTCTGCGGAGTCCTCGGCACGTTCATCCTAACATTCAACCTCCAGTAGTGGAGCGAGAAGTTCAACGGGATGACTCATAGACTTTGTTTATACTCTATATAGTATTATTGTCTGTTGACGTGTATTTGTACAGAACATTACAAATGAAGGACTTTGTTGTGTGTTGGTGATGTAGGGAGGGCATTTAAGGGCAAACCCTTGTTCAGTTTTGAAATCAAAATGATGTTTTAATGGTGAATAAGCTTCAAAATTCACCATCACTGATTTTCACACAGTGGATTCTGTGCTTCTGTTTTGCTTATTAAGAATTATACGAGTATTACGCCACAGTGGAGCAATACTGTTGAATCCAGAGATGTACTTTTTTTCCAAGAATAGCAGTGATGAATGTGTTTCTGCTCTGGCTGATGTACATTTCAGTAATTAATCACTACCGAATGGATCAAGATATCTTAATGCTGAAAGTATTCATCAATTATTCGTCCACGAGATATGAGCCGCTGCCAAAGATAGAAATGATGTAGGACGCACATGTGAAAAATGCCCTCCTTCATTCAATCCTCTCTACTCTGGTGTATAAAGACAAACATGTGCAGTGTTTTCTATGCATCATTTGTTTCTCTCCAGTCAGTATTTAAATGCGTTGTAACTGTGAATCCCAATGTTGGAATGTTACTAAACCTCTAATTATGAACAATACCACATTACATTATGTATTATTTATTTCACCATTTTGTTTTTGATGCTATGTACCCAAAAGAGTATTATTAGTTATTGTATCAGTTTGATATTTCTGTTTCTGTAACCTTATTGGTGGCTGTGCTATAAAGCTGAAGTCTCCCCTGGCAGACTGGTGTAGGTCACAGACTGTGGATGCCCTAATCGTCCTCTGCACCTTTAAGGGAACCACGTAACTTTTTCATCCAGCAAACTCTGCGTGATATGAACTACCATCAATTTACGGGAACCTTTATTTCCAGAGAGGAGCAGATGAGGAGGGGTTTCATGCTGGAGCTCTCTTTGTCGCCTCTGCAGCTATTGCTTAGTTAGTAATAAGAAAAGCTCTATTTAAAATTTGACTTGTTAATTCACATGGAGTGAGTTTGCTTTTTTTCTGCTGTCATTTTAATCTGAATGTTGAATTGAGTATAATTTAGAGATGTGTCTTTTCGCTGTCCGGGTGTTTTTGGGAGTCCTTCTCTGTGCACCGTACCAGTGCTTGGAGTGTCCTTTTGGCTGCCAGTGTTTTGCTGTCACTCGCACAGTAAAATGTGTTTCTAAGGATCTGCTCACAGTGCCACAAAGTATTCCAGGGTATGCTAAGACTGTCATCATCACAGGAAATAATATACACCAGATTGGACCTGATTCCTTTACAGATATGGAGAATGTCACCAACATCATTTTAAGCAAGAATAGGTGAGAATGTCAGTTTGTTTTTTTGTTTCATTCATGTATATTGAGCCATATTTGGATAATATGACAAACTTTCTTTATGTGTATCTAATAAATACCCCAAATAATGTTAATTTCTCTGAATGTTTTTTAAAATTTGTTTAATCTGGCAGTACTACAGTGAGTTGTGTCCAAGCATGGAAGTACTGCTAAATGTCTCAGGACAGATGTTACAGTGTTCGTCATCTTCACAGGATTACAGAGATGGCGTCCCACAGCTTCTCTGCCCTCATCAACCTGCGCTTCCTGGACCTCAGTGAGAACCAACTGGCCCTCATTCACCCCGAAGCTCTCAGCATACCTGGTGGTCCCCTTCAGGAGCTCAACCTGAGCCGCTCGCTGCACAACTTCACCGCCCTGACGGACCTCGCCACGGCTCTGCGCTGGGGTGATCTCAGGGGGCTCCTCCGCCTCGACCTCTCTGGGAACCACCTCGCCCTGCTGCCCCCTGGGATGTTCTCCCACCTTCCCGACCTGCAGCAGCTCTTCCTCGCCAACAACTCTCTGGTGGCTGTCTACGGCGGAACCTTCTCTGGTATGAACCGCCTGGAGCTGCTGGACCTTACGCGCAACGTCTTCAGTACATTCGGGGCTGATGCTCTACAAGAGCTGGAGAAGCTTGGGAACATCAGAATCCTTCTTGGGGACAACCCTTACACCTGCTCCTGCGAGATCAGTCATTTTGTGGCCTGGCTGAACGAATCGAGAGCTCAGGTGGACGTGGATGCTGTAAGGTGCGCCTCACCAGGAGGGCTTAGTGACACCCAGCTGCGAGGGCTCGGCGTCCATGCCATTGGATGTGTTGGTCCAGTCCAAGCAGAGGTGGCTGACCTCACCCTGCAGACATCCTATGTCTTCCTCGGGCTGGTGCTGGGGTTTGTGGGCATGGTCTTTCTCTTTGTGCTCTACCTGAATCGCAAAGGTATGAAGAAGTGGATCATTGAAATGAGAGACGCATGTCGGGATGTCCTGGAGGGATATCGCTACCGATTCGAGATTGACTCGGACCCTCGGCTGGGGCACAGCTCTGCAGAGAACGGTGGCAGCCGGGCGCGAGGGAATTTAGGATTAGGGCTGCCACATGACACTTGTATTGTCAAGCTTCCTGCAGACACACAGGTCAAACAGCTGACAATCTCTTCCGCCTGTGAACCTATGATCTTCTCCTAAAACTAGAAGCATTTGAGGAAGATGTATGTGAATAGTTAGTTAGCTGGTAGATATACGGTGTTTTTGAGCTTCCTGTACATCCTGCAGTTATAACAGATAAATCCTACCTTAAAAGTGCCTTTGTGTTTTCCAGGCACTAAATTGACTTTAATATTGTATGTTTATCAGACATTTTCTAAAAAATATAATACATAGGCTACATTGAAAATATATATATACCTTCTATACGTCTCAGTTTTTGTCAACTGTGGTTTCTTAGCTTTTTGGCAGTATCATGACTTTAAATATCTTATACTGAAGAAGACCGCCTGAAACATAAAAGACATAAATGGTAGCTTAATGGCATGACAAATGTATGTAGACCTATACAAATTTAACCCATAGACACCCAGTCAGTTTTATTTAATAAGATTAATCCTTTAATTAAATGTACCATGCATCTTTATTGTGCCAGAATGTGACCTGTCGTACAGTAATATTCAAATCAATAGAAGTTAAATCTACTGTATGACATGCAACTTGTATTTACATGAATTGTAAATAAAATCAACTTTTGATGCATTTAGTTTTCTTGTGCCCCTGCTTTATTGTGACTGCAGTGCAACCACAAAGACACCACGCTACACAGACTCATATTTTTCCCCAGGTAAGGTGGCCCTACTATTTCAGTTCAAAGAGTGGGTGATTAAGTGTTTCCATAGAGGGAAAATAGGGCAGAATGAAAGATATTGCTTGGAAAACACCTGCTGGCTCTGCAGCTGTGCACCCATGTGTGCATGTCAGACCTAGCGTGTATGTGTGTATGTTCCCTGCATGTGTGTGCAAAGAAAAGACCACGTGTCATATTGCCATGCATAATTTCACCATCAGTTGTTATGTTGCATCACATGGTACCAAATTCCAATCTGACTATGGACAGATTTGCAGCCGTTTTCTTCTTCTTTTTTTTCACCTTCTTCTATTTCACTATTTTCTTTATTTTCATTCCATGTTCCTCTCGTTGTTGTCTTTTACGGTTTATCCCTCCTTTCCTTCTTCGGTGCTGTTATATCCGCCGTTATGACGTCACCACTCACCTGTGGGTGGGTGTAGGATCTGGGATTAGCTGTAGCCGCAGGTATTAGCCAAACATTGGGAGACTCACGGCTAACAAGACTAACACAACAGGAGTTTTATAACAAACTCAAAACGTAGACGACGCGAATGAGCCGTGTCGCGTCGTTCGGTCGAGGCAACCGACTTAAGGTTTTGCAAAGTGTGTTTTGTGGAAGCTAAGTCACCGGGAAGTCTGTGGGCGGTCGAAATCCGTCTTTTCTTTCTCTGTTTGAGGCGCTAGCAGAAGTTTCTCCTCCGTGAGACTTCCGCGGTTTGCTCGCTGAACCAGTTATCTGAGATAAAAGACAACCACCAAGTGTTTCCTCTTATGCGGTAAGTCACATTTAAAAACGTAATTGTTGACTGAGATTTGGTCTGATGTGTTTTTCCCTGCACATGTACTTCAGGCCAAACAAGCTTTCAGAACGCGCGACGAAATGGGCCAAATGAATGCACTCAGGTTTATTTACATTCTCAGACTTTCCGGTGTTTACTCCCTTTCTCTTTATTAACGCAGGCTGTTTTTAATGTGTCATGGTGCGTTTAATGCTGCAAGTCTGTGTGGCAAACAAAAAAAGGGGGGGAGGTTTACACCTGGTTCTTATTTCTGAACATGCCTCTCCCACACCAGGTCCCAGGTATTGTGAGCCATGCCTGGCCACAGCACAGGGGCTCCCCAGGCGTCCCGCCACCACAAACACCACGTCTCCAGCTCCAGAGCAGACAAGTACCGACCCACTCGGACTATATCCAGAGACATCACGGCCAGCCAAGACGCCTACAAGGATCCTCGCAGGGAGCATCACCACGCTGACCACACCCGGTATTCAGAGAACAAGTATGGACGCAGCACAGGCCACCCGCGAAACGGCACGGGTCGAGGCTCGGAGACTATAGGATTTATTCCCGGGTCGGCAGACAGCGCGCCTGCCAGCAGGCATGCCTGTGGCTCCTGTGCCTCCATGGGCTGGACTGGCTGCAAGGCTGTTATCTGCTGTGTACTGACCTGTGGGTTTTATGGCAGCCGGGAGCCCTGCCTGCCCGTTAACGAGAGCTCCACGGACCACCCCCCTAAAGCAGGCAGTGAGCCTCACCCTCCCAATGGCATAGCTGTGACCAATCCCACGTGTGGCGTCCCTTTGGAGTCCAGCAAGTCTACCAAAGCCTCCAAGTTGCCCGCGAGTGACAGCTTCCGCTACCCGGATGTGCGCATTGCCGGTCAGACGGTGAGGTATCCGGTCGCTGCCCCAAAGCGAACGCGCATGCCTGGCAAGGGGGAAAGCCAGCGGCCTGTCAGCAACACCAGCCTGCTGTCCCGCGAGGACTATGACTTGGATGACCTGAGTGACACGGGCACAGACATTGACTCGCTCATCACCAAGAAGCTGCTGGAGCTTTATGCCCTGCACCAGATCGACCAGCTGGCCAAGTGCACCTCCGACTCCTCGTTCTCCCGCAAGACCAACGAGATCAGCGAGCTCATCTACAGCATCGCGCAGGACTACAACCTGGAGGAGCAGGAGGCCGAGTGCAAGCTCGTGCACGGGGTCATCCGCATCAGCACGCGAAAGGGCAAGAGGAACAAGAGCCATCCGTCGACGGGACAGCGTCCCACTGGGAGGAGCGACGGGACGCTCCCTGACAGTGGCAACGAGACCATGACCAACACTTTATTCAGCAGTGACTGTAAGACTACACTAATCATCACAATTAATTACTGCTGTATGAATATTTATAAAAGGCCAAATGACAAGCATCTGGCTGCCGCATACCAAAACATACCTCTCACCTTGTCTTCCCTAAATGACTCATAGTGTCTGTTGGGACGCTGCTTTTGTTGCACTAATACACCCGGCAGTGACCTAACAATAAATTGGTTAGTCGGAGGCAAGTCGATACATGTAGACACCGTCTCGTAAGACGCGTTGCACAATAGCCGAGGTGACAGTATTAATCTCCAAAATAAGAGTGCATTAGTTGTCCGTTGAAGCTCCTTGTCTGCCCTGGGCTCATCTTCTTGTCTTCTTGTCTCGTGCTCCAGTTCCAGAGGTGAAAGTGTCGGAGCAGACGCCATCGGACGAGCTGGCGAGGAAAATGCGACATTACAGCGGGAGAAGTGAGTCTTTGTTTGGGCTGATGTGAATGCATGCATGAGGTTTTAAGAGTTTGGATGAGGGCCATAATCAGTGGTTAGAAATGTTATTATTAGCACAATATTTAAATGTACACAATTAATATTTAGGCACATTTTTATTATTATTTGTATGCATTGTGCAGATGGAGGTCTTTATTTGTCCTCGTCACAGGTGTAATTACTACCCCGGTGAATAAATGGAGCTCAGGTCTTTGCAAAACCATTGTACCCGCTGCAGCTGCAGGCATTTTCTCTGTACTTTCCAGCAACATGCCCCTCTTTAGCCAGAGAAAGCCCCACATTCCTGCCCCCTTTTTCTCTCCATATTACAATCCCTCGCTCATTAGCTGCCACCGCCTCCTCCTCCCCTCATCTGCCACCTTATACCCACCCATCAATCTGCCTCATTCTCCCCTCCAGCTCAGCGGTCACGCTACACCACCTGCTCCCAGCAGGTCCAGTCACATTAAATACATTGCCACGTTAATGTCCCGTGCCTTCACCGTGTAATTTTCGGGAACGACTTGGGTTACAGGTGGATTAACGCGCAGCAGCCTCTTTTTTTTCTTTTTTTTCGTTGTTGTTCTGCGGAGAGAGGCGGTTAAAAGGACGGGGGTGTCCTGTTGCATGTCTTTTGAATGAGGGTACAGCACATTGTGTTTCCACAACTTTCACACGGCGACCTGGGAACGTGTCGGTGTCCTGGGTTCTACATCTGTGCATGAAATAGAACCTCTACTGTATCGTCTTTTTTTGTGTGTGTGTGTGTTAGGGCTATGTTTTTGTTTTCAGCGTGTTAAATAAAGCTCCTTCTCTCACAGCGTACTCTTCCAACACCGCCACAGCCTACTCGCCCTACCATCATGACCCCGAAACAGACTCTTCGGGCACTCCTCTTCTGCTCTGAAGGGTGACACAGACACAGAAGCACCTGTACTGACAAATGTATATGGACAATGATATCCTTCTGCTATTATTTTTTTGTTGCCGTTACTGAGTGGAGCACCTTTTGCCCCAGGCGGTGGTACTTCTGCTTTTTGTGGTCCGGCTAATGTTTGCTATTGGTGGACTTTTTTTATCTCTCCAGCAAAAAAAAAAAAAAAAACACAGAGGAAACAATTGGTCGTTGTTGTTTTGTTTTTTTTTACACTTGGAAAGACATTGCTGGTTGTTTTTTTTTTTTTTTATGTATTTGTATGCACACACATTTTAAAGTTGTTTTCAGAGAAAGAAACGTGACTACACTCCATGTAATCTCAGCAGTGAGGCCAGAGGATAGAGACTGATGGTAACGTGTGTGTGTGTGTGTGTGTGTGTGTGTGTGTGTGTGTGTGTGTGTGTGTGTGTGTGTGTGCGCGTGCGCGCGCGCTTGCTTTCTGATGTTTACAGTCCTTGAAAGCTTGTTTTGACCTGAAAACTGCATCGTTAAGCCATATTTTGATGTACATATTTTTGATGTCACTGTTACTCTCTGGGTTTTTACACAATTTGTGGCATTGACCAGTTTTCTTTTTTTATTCACAGATAAGTCCTGTTTTTAACAAAATAAAAAAAGCTTGTTTATGCCTTTTCATGTGCATTCAATAAGGAAATACCAAACTCGTGTAGTTTTCATTTTAGCTCACAAGAAATATATGCTAAAGCATCCTCCTATCCTACTAGCTACTTTTCCTCTTTATCTCTTTGGATTATTGTTCTCAAGCTCATCTCCCCGAGGTCACTGTGTTGTGCCAGGACGTCTTCTTCCTCCCTCAGCAAAAGAAAGAACCCGTTTGGCTGGTTCTGACAGAAAGGAAATAAAATCCTGGGGTTCGTCTTTGTCATTTATTGCAAAGGGAAGAATCAGTGTGCAAAATCAGGAACTTAACCTGAACTTTAAGTCAAATTCATTTTAACTATATGAACCAACAATGTATATTTTAAGATATATTATCGTGTTAAAAGTAGTTTTAATATGTAACAATGTGCATGTAATAAGCACCAAAGATGAAAAACAATGTGAAGATTTCAGCCATGTTTTTAAGCGGCACAATAAGGCAGATTGCTGACATCAAGAGAAGGATTCTCCAACACTCTTGAAACCGTGTAATTTAAAATAGGTGAAAAATGTTCTGCTTATTTGTAGAACATAAAATCTACTCGACTAATCCCAGAAAACAACAAATGAGAAATTCTTCCGTGTCAAATGTTGAGCCTGTGGTGTTCGTGGTGCGCTGCAGACGCCCTGTGTAACCCTGTTTCCTCTGGCTCTCTGCCCCTGCCAGCACATTCCTGTTTTACCTGTATGAGGTGTCATGCAAAAGCTCACTGTTTCACAACTAGCATACCACAGGCTGGGACGAATCCACAGGGCTTGTTCTATATCAAATATCTAGCCTGCAGATTGTTAACAGTGCGCTGGGATTTGTTTTTAGGATAGTTGATTCAGCGTTCACATATTTCATCCGCTTTAGTGCACGCAAACTGTTAATTGTTTTGTGTAGTGCTTTTATTTTGTTAAACGTTTGTGTATGTGACAAATAGATCAGGGCTCAGGTTTAGTTCGCTTGGGAATGCTTATGTGGGATTATAGTTTCTTAGAGTAAACATGTGACTTTCACTGTTTTCCATGAGAGGGAGACAGAGCACCTACTGAAATAACTCATTTGTGGTCATAATAGAAACATTAAAGGGGGGGTTTACTTTCCTACAGTTCTCAGTCTCTCTAGCTTGGTGTGAGGTGATCAAACGTTCACATGATTATGAAATGTAGAGAGAAAAATGATATATCACCAGTGATATGAAATGCAACACTTACTGTTGGTTTCAACACAGGCTGGAAAAACATGAAGGTGAACACAGCATGCATGAATCACATATGCTTTCTCATAATAAGTTGTATCCAACAATGACAGACTGTCGCTAACTGGATTTAAAGCAAGCGTTAGCCCTACATTTTAAAAGTTACTTCAAAATTTGTGAAAAAAATACTGTTGGCCCATTACAATGTATTATCCCTTGTATGCTTCTTTGAAGCTGCAACTCATACTATTGAAACAACTTTTCAAATCACCCATATTTTCATTGCTTTTAGAGACAACTCTGTTAGATCCAGGGAATTCGTTGTGACACATTTGCTAGGTTTGGTAACTCTGGCGCCTTGAAAGGAATTTAAAATACAGAGGCTTGAGCAATACTTGGCTACACAACATGTCAGTAATGTGGGACCTGCCAAATGAGTTGTCAGAGTGTCTATATCCGGTGCAGCACCTAGTACTTCAAACAAATACTCTGGCTTGCTGTGAGTGTTTTTAAAAGAATGAAACGGGTCTTCACTGTTACGTTCATGTACAAAAATATATTTATTTGAAATGTTCTGGTATTGCAGCATTTATTTACAACATTGAAGCAAACAGAAAATACCTTCAACATAAGAGACAGTATATTTAAAGTGGGCACAGTCTCTGTTTATGTGTTAAAAGTCAAATCTTTCAAGATTTTCAGACCTGAGCTTCAACGTGAATATAAGTAATTCACAGTCTCTTGTTCACCAATTGCCACAGTTTTTATTGGCTATTGTAAGTGTTTTTTTTCTTTAGCAGTCCACTGTCAGGCATTCCTCCATATCATGAGGAACACATTGCTTGCGTTGGTCAACGATAAGTTCTGCATCACCACAGTGAAAATCATTGGATTCCACCTTCTCCGGGACAGTTATAGCACACAGAGTCCACCGGTCCTCTTCTATCTGCAGAAGAGCATGTCGACCAACAGCTCCAGCATATCCGCCTGGCCCGTCACGGGCCGGAAGAAGAGTTCAGCAATGAGGCTCGGTGTGATGCTCTGCAGCATGGAGGCTGTGAGGAGGATTCGAGCAAAGCGCCCCTGGTTCCCTGGGTGAAGGAGCTGGACCACCTCGCTGAGGGCGTGCTGAGCCTCCTGTTGTAAGCCTTCAACAAACAGAGCTGCCTTTAAATCTGGGACATCTGTTGGATGTAAAGACAAGGAATTAGATACTCAAACATACATGTACAGTGCAGCTTTTGCTGTGTTCTTCCAGCAGGGATTGGAAATTTACTCTGAGAGCCAAGTGTTCTCACTTCTACATCCAACATCGGATGTATACATACCTGGATTAAATATTGTGATCCCTTTGAGGTATGCGTACTCCTTTGGACTCAAATCCAAACTCCAGAACTTTTTGAGGCAGGACTGGAGTTTGCTGACACCGGCCATGATGGGCGGCTCCCTCTCCATCTCACATCTCTCCTGACGATTTAGGAGAATCTTTTTCAGCATGCTGTCAGCGGGCGTGTCCGTCACCTCGAAGTCCACGTGCTCCTGGGCCAGACCCAAAATAAAGAGCGGCGCCCAGCAGCTTTTGAGGAGTGAGAACTGGTCGTTTGTTGGCATCTGGTTGAAAGCAGGTAAGTTCTTCATGAAATGGACAGTTTTGACCAGAACTGCTGATGCTTCCTTGCAGATCTCAGATGGCCTTTTCAAGCACACGGTCCGTCGCAGCTCACAGTTGCATCTATGAGCCATTGAATTGTAGTTGAAGCCGTTTTGGCTTGGTTTGCTGTTATCCATTTGGCTGAGGATGTTGTAGAGGATTGGATTCGAAAGCATGTCGCTGTTGGTTGCACAATGACACCTGTTATCCATATTTATAGGCTGTAGAGATCGATGTAGTTACATGTAAGAGACCTCTCGACGGATGGGCTCTGCAAGAGCTTGTGAGTACTGCTGCTTCCTCCAGTGTCCCTGTATTTATAAGACCAACACACCCTGCTAAGTGGACCTTGACATGTCAATACACTCTGTGAAAAACAACCATGCAGTCTGCCAGGTGACTGATGGAATAACCCTGGGAAACTGATAAGCTTTTCTCAATGAAAATGAGCTGGCGGAGTAACGGCTGGAAATCAGGAGGGTTGGGCCTTATCTTGTAGCCGGTGTCATTAACCCAGGCAGTACCAAGCTACCAAGGACTGCAGAGGCAATTAGCCGCACACTGTGTCTCTGCACACTGCCACCTCACACCTGGAGAGCTGGAAAGAAGCCAAAGCAAGGGCATTAACCTGTAAGTTATGTCCTCAGGAGGTGTAGCAAGTTTTGTTTTGTTTTTGTTTTCAAAATAAACAGAACTGGAATTTTTAAAACCTAAATTGGTGGTATAACACTGCCCACCATCTTCTTTTTATTGGTTTGCCTTTGATATTGATAAAATGAATTAAAATGTAGGATTTAGAAATACTACAAAGGTCATTAGTCCCTCCAAACACCAGAGACAAAGATGAAATAACCTTTAATTTAAAAAACAAAAAATTTAATAATTCAGCTAATTGTTAATTTATCCTTTCTGTATTTAACTCATAACAAGTCAACACATTGAGTCTTACAAGTTTATCCCCACGCTAGCAGCTCTTTGAGTCTGTACTTAGACACAGTGCTGCTTTGAACTAAATGTTAACGTCATAATGCTGACATACGATGGAAATGATGCTAAGCAAATACATTTCTTTCAAACCATTTCCACTGTGTTAGTTTAGCATATTAGCTTGCTAACATTTGGTTATCAGCACTAAACTCAAAGTACAGCTGATGAGAATGTAATTAGGTACATCAAAGTTAAGATTGAAAGTTGAAATGTATGATTTGACATTAATGTTATTACAATTCAGCCTGAGGGGGACGTGAGTGTATGTCCGAAATTTAATTGCAATCCATCCAATTAAAAAAATAACAACCTCGTTGTCGTACTGAAGGAAACTTTATTGGATCCCCAAAGTCAGCAGGATTCATCCTCTGGGGAACATGACCAAAAGTGGAACTGGACCAAAGTGGTGGACAAAACTGTGTATGGTATGCACATTAATAACAAAACAAAAATGGGGGTGGCTAGCTGACTGATAAACAATTTAGTTAAAATAATGTATAAAGGCCCCATGATTGAAGTGCATTTTACATTGGAAACTCCTCAGTTGTGTTAATGCTACATTTCTTACAGTGATAACATTAGATCGATGGTCATATAAAAGAAAGGAATTCCAGTTTATGGCGTCTGTAACAGGCGGTACAATGGTCCAGTTGTCATTTAAACGCGTTTATCCTAATTTGTTATCTTCCCTGTGCCTGCCACGGAGGCTTGAGGCTGATAAGGTAATGAGCTTATACTTTATTGTTGTGAGAAATAAACAAACTTCTCATTTTCAATGAGAATTTCTTTCAGTTTAGACATTTAGCACCACGAACCAACTAAATGTTTTTCACATTGTACAGTAGACAGGTGACAGGATACATTATCATACTTTTGTGGGGACACCTGCTGCACAAGCCTGGAAGCATCATTATTGAAGTTTCAGAGGAAGACCTGAACCACAGAGCAGCAGGGTCAAGGACAGTTCATAGAGTAAATGACTGCAATAAAGAAATTACAAGCCAGACATCACTGGCAGCACCAGTCACCGAATGTTTGTTTCACCTCATCGGTCTCTTTACTTATCCCTTCAAAGGATTATCCAGAATCGGTTACATAGCCTCCTTTTCTTTCCTGGAGTGATCTCATTATGATACACGACTACAGTGATTATTCATCATAATGGACCTCTGCTTCGAATGCATGATAAAAAAAACATGTTAAGTTATCTTCGAGAATGCGATCCTTTCAGCAAAGTGACTTGTAATACCCTCAGAAAGCCCTCAAGCTTCATGAAGCAGGCAGACAGTTGTAAACGCTTGCGATAAGACTTGTATTTATAGACGTTAGGAGCAGGCAGAGACGGACACGGAGGACAGACGCTTATCTCCACCAAGACTGTAAAAATAAAATGGCCTTCAATCTATAAGTGGAACAACTGCTGTATTCTGAGATCAGGCATGGGAAACCGATGAAGCATGGTGTAATGGCTGGCACGTTAAGGAGGTCTTAGCATTTAAAAAAAAAAATTATTTCAATACATACAACTCTAAAATGTATGAAGACACTTGACTGTAATAGCATTATCAAGTTGAGACTAAAATAATAAATAATAGGACGATCAATACATGAGCTTGAATATAATTGTGTCAGACTGTTTGCTTTTCTGGTAAGGTTTTCTCCCAAATATTGACTTTTGCTCTTCCTCTGGTTCTACTTTTCCCAGGTCGTTGAACTCTTGTGCTTGACACCGTGTCTGGTCCATGACACTTAACCTTGACCAACTGCTAATACAGCGGAGGTTCATTTGCCTGACTCTGTTCTCAGAAGTTCATTAACCCAGAGGGCACAGTTATTCTTTACACCGTGGCGCGGGGTCATTTCAATCATCGGGGAAAAAAATTGTTTGATTTTCCTGGAATTTGAAATGTTCACATTAGTTCACATTTTTAGTTATTTCAGGTTCAAATTATATATTTTATTAACTTACAAGAGACCACACATTTAAACAGTATAAGCCAGATCCAATCCAACAAGACAGTTTGAATGATTTTCTAGTCAACAACAATATTCAGAAATTGCTGAAAAAACTTACACATCAATATAAAACTGCCATATGTGTACACCACGATATTTCATGGTTTTGAAATGCAATTTCTCTTTCTTCTTTTTTCCCCCTTTATTTATTTTTATTTATTTTTTTGCATTGAGATACTGTACTTCTAGACTGTGCTCTGATGTTGACTAGGTAGTACTTTGAAAAGCATAAGCTTCATACTGACTAACAAAATGCTAAACTTCAATACTTTTCAGGCACTGACCAAGAAGTGATGCTACTGAAAGTTGGCATTAAATTATTGGTCAGATTCTTATTTATGTTAAGTTATCCTTTGATTAGATTTTTTACACTATTTTTTACAAGTTCTTCTACGGTAGACTTAGGCATTGTAGAATGTATTTTGTTCAATAGAGGGAAATATTTTTATTTTTAATGATTTTTATATTCTATATTCTAAAGCACTGATATATGAAAAAAAATGTAAACAATACTGAGTGCCACAGTTTAATTGTAAATCTTTATCTTCATTGTATGGATGAGGCCAAAACTCCAGTGCAGTGACCCATGATCTGGTAGGTCTTCTCTTTCTTGCTCAAAGTTTTTTTATTTGTATTTTATTTTCCAGGACAAATCGATATTAGGTGCATCTATTTGTGGGACTCTGAGTGCCTACCTGTACACAGCAGGGCTCTCGTGTGTATGAAATACGTGTTTGAAAGTTGAATTCTTTCAGTATTTTACCTGCACTGATCTTTAATAAACCTAAATTGATATTGAATTTCTGACTTAACTCATACCTTGTAAAAAAGTTAAAAACACAAGTAAAAACACACTTGATAATTAGCATGGACTTCCACAAGCCAGATTGGCTATGACTAACGCACAATAAGTGTGTAATATGTGTAAAGTGATGTCAGGGTACAGTTACTCCACTCTGGTTTTACTGCCTATTACTATCAAACACAATGATAAAAGCTGAGGTGAAGGCCAAAGGAAGAGTTAGCCTGGGTTAATGAACTCTGTCTGTATACGTTTATTGATTCTCTCTCTGAAAGAGGTTAAAAATGTACTAATGTGAAAGATTTGTTAACGCTTCTTAAAAGACAGACTCAGCCTTACTGCCTTTTTGCCTAAATCAAATAGATATGTCATTTAAAAACAGAGCCAGAAATGCTGTCTTTTAATTGTCATTTGAGTCTAACAGTTTGATTTCTCCTTTTAGCATTTTAACTTTGAATCGTATCAAGGATACAGGGATCACTATCAATGTTCTGCTCAGTGAGTTGCTTGTTCAAAATGAATGTTCATTTCCACAGCTGACCATTGAGAGGAATCTCTCCTAAAAATGCCTGTACTTAGGATTTGACTATTTCCCCCCTTTGTACAAAGGTTTTTTTGTTGGTTTCTTTTTCCTTGTCAGGGAGCTTTTGGGTCTTACACCACTGATGTGCTCTATAAAGCCTATAGTCAGACATTGTATGGGCTGAACTGCTCTTTGTTTATCCGTGGATGGACATCACTATCACTCTATTTCAATCTCTGCAAAAATATAATTTTTTGGATATCAGGGATGTTTTGACTGGACTGCAACAATTTCATGGTGAAACAACAATGCAACAACAACCCTCAGAGATTATATCCATGTTTCATTATTTGGGATATATGGCTCGATATTAGAGATAGCATACTGTCATGAAAGATAAAGATATAACTAGAAATCTAATCATTATTTTTGAGCATGGAGATAATGTATCTTCTATCAGTAGCATTTATCTTTTAACATGGAACTCTGCTTGTCTTTGTTCGTTTTGCTGTAAAATGTATGATAATAACACATACAGTCTACTCTATAATACATGCAATGTCTGTATAAAGATTTTCTATATAACTTCCATATAAAATAAGCGAAATGGTCATACATAAAACTATATAATAGTGTAATATAAAGAATATGCTGTGGAGTAGTAAAGAAGTTCGCTGTTAGTAATCGTTGGGTAGTAACGTTTCTCTAACGTCTCAGGAAGCGGAAGTGACGTAATTTCTGAATGTCGTTCTGATGACGTTTGCTGTCCAGAAAATAAAACACATACAAAAAAAACAATCATGGCGGACTCTGAAGCCTTATCCACCGTGTATTTAGCAATAAGCAACATTCCTGTTGCTCTACGCTCCGCGGATTTGAGGAATTATTTCAGTCAGTTCATAGAAAGTGGCGGTTTTCAGTGTTTTCACTACCGACATCGACCGGAGGTTCTCAGGGAGACCGAGGTGTCCGAGGACACCGTGTGTAGCGACGGTGAAGAGGGCAGCTCCAAGTGTTCGGAGGCTGACGGCGTAACGTTACCCGTGAAGAAGCAGGCGGTGAAGACGTGCTGCTGTATCGCCTCACTTCGTGCTAAAGATGCCGACAGACTCGTCAGGATGTATGCGGGGAATCACTGGATTGACCCGAAGGGGAACTGGCTGGCTAGTCGTTGTGTTATTAAAAGAGTAAAGGTTTCACACGACCACGGTTAGTGAAACTTTACATACCGGTAACGTTATAAATAGAACTGTAGGAAGACTAAACGGGGATAGGGGACACATGGACCGTGTCGTTTTGTCTGGATTTGACACATGTTTGTTGTGCCATGTTAACGATTTTATATCCACCAAATGTTTGATATTTTCCCGTAAAAAGTGAGTTGAAGATTAAATACATTATTATAGTTGCAGCTGTGTAATTTTAAATTAGAAAATTAACTAATTCATAGACCTTTTTTTAAGTCAAAGTGAGAGAATTGTGTCATCTGTATCATGGCTTCCTTCTGTTATGGCTTATTACTACAGATGAGTTGTCTTTGTTGTGTAATTGTGACATGAAGTGTTATTGCTGCTTGTACATCAAATTGTTATTTATTTTTTTCCAGATGATGGGTCATTCCCCTACAAATCAAAGCACGAGCAGCGCCACCGTGTGTCCTTAACAGAGCGTTTCACAGAGGCGGACCTCAAAAGTTTGTCCGAGCTGAATCCACCAGCTCTGATGCAGAATGGGAACGTGGGCACACCAGTGAAAGTCTTCCTGCAGCTCATCCAGTCCTGCCGACTGCCTCCTCGTCTCATCCGCAAGTTGGGCCTCACTTTCCCCAAGACCAGCTCCAACCGGCGTTACGGCAATGTGCCTTTCCATTATCGGGACACCTGGACTCTTCCAGCCACAGAAGAGACCGTGTTAACGGCTGCTGGACATGAAATATCAGGACCGGGCACTTTGGCTGCTCCGTTCTCAAGACGGAGGAAGCTGTTTGATCACGCAGCAACAACAGAGACGGATGAGCCACAGAAAGAAGAAGAAGAGGAGGAGGATGCACAGTCAAATGCGGATGATGTGGGTTTGAATCCATTCATATTTATTTGTAAAATGTAAAATATAAATGCACCCCAACATCCCTTCTCTGTGGTTTGATAATCATTCATCTTGTTGGTTGTAGGATGATGATTGGTGTGAGGAGTGGGAGCGCCACGAGGCTTTGCACGAGGATGTAACGAGCCAGGAGCGATGCAAAGAGCGGCTGTTCGAAGAAGAGATCGAGTTGAAGTGGGAGAAGGGCGGCTCGGGCCTGGTGTTCTACACCGACGCCCAATACTGGCAGGAGGAAGAAGGAGGTATGCAACCAAAACAATTGTGCAGTTTTCCACACTGAGCAAAGGAAGCTCTTAATGTGTACCTCTTGACGTGTATAATAACATATGTTTATACTTTAAAAATCACATATGAAGTTATCTGATTGATGTTAACAACATTACCCAGCATGGTTATAGGAAGTCAAACCAAAACAATACATTTTAGCTGTGTTGTGTAGCTTATATCTGACATCTTGAATTACAATAATAGATATTAAAAATATACTTTGAAACACATGTATATGATTTTTTTCCCCCGCAACTACTACTTTAAATAACGTGTATTTGCTTGATGATATATATTGATAACATTTATGTCTCCTGTACTTTTTTTTCTTTTTTTCTTAGATTTTGATGAACAAACGACAGACGACTGGGATGTCGACATGAGCGTTTACTATGATAAAGGTATCTCAAGTTTATTTTACATCTGATTAACGAAGGGAACCAAACTGAATTATTTCTGCAGGTTCAGGTTTTTCTTTAACCCAGCTCTTCCTCTCGCAGATGGAGGTGATATGGATGCCCGTGACTATGTCCGAATGCGGTACGAGAAAAGGCTGAGGGAGGGTCTTGAAGACAGATCTGGACACAGTCAGTTGGACACAGTCATCGGCAGCTTTGAGAGGTTTTCTAAGGTAGCCTAAGCAGATGGGCTATTATTTGACGACATCTTTTCTACCAAAGCCTATATGAGCAATTGTGTAATTCATTTTTTTTTTTTTTTTTTTTTTTTTTTTTTTTTAGGGCTTTGGTCGTCGTTTGATGGAAAAGCAGGGCTGGAAGGACGGTGAAGGGTTGGGACACAGTCAGGTTGGGATCCCTGATGCCCTTGAGGGTGAGGGCCAACATCCCAACTGTAAAAGAGGCTTTGGGTACGTATGAGCACATAAATGACATCACCAAACACTGTTTTAAGTGCCCTCCTGATGCGAAGTATTTCCTCTCTGCAGGTATCATGGAGAGAAGCTTGTCCTACAGCCTGTAAAGAAGGCCAGGACAGATTTTCATATAACCACAGTGTACGACAAACCCAAAGACATCGATGGAGGCGACACCTTGCTGAGACGTCAACCAAACACTAGTATGAAGTACAGAGGCTGGCAGCCAGGTGGCACCATCGGACCACGACGATAACAGCTACATTATTTTTATTCCATAGATTTTGTACTAGCATATTTTTATAACTGTGTTAATAAAGCATTTTTTTGAAACATTTCATTCCACTTGTGCAGATTTTGTCTTTGTATACAACTTTGTAATATCTCAAATTGCAGACTCACACAAACACTTGTTTTCGTATGTCAATGGTTCATATTGTTATGGAACTTTATGGTGTTTCTTAATGATAAATAATGACAGAAAATATATTAAGTTCTATCACAGAGGACAGTGTGGTGCCCCTCGTCAAATGAAAAACGATGCTTTTATTCTGACATCTCGGTTACGTAACCCGGATGTGCTTAGTAGCGTAGCCAGTTAGCTATCAGCCCATGTACGCATGCAAACATAACGGCGGCAGACGGTAATTATCCATCAGCACTTGTTACATTTGCAAATAAAAGCCTCAAATGTAACAGAACATGTCGCTAACATTAGTCACACTTCTCTATGGCCACACATACACTTACAAATAGTTACCGAGGTTTTGCTTTGTAAGTAATGTCAACTGTTGAGTAGGCTGAACTTTAATATATATGCTAATATCTGACACTGACTGGTGCGACCCTGCCAGGTAACAACCTGGATGCTGATTCCCTGCATCCAGGACATCACACGTGGACCCTCTGACATCCTGGTCCCCCGTCTCATGTGATCCTCCACATTGAAACCATGTCCAGTCAGACCGGAGCAGCGTCCCCCCTGCGCTTCGGCCAGGTGGTCATTGGACCCCCGGGCTCAGGGAAGACCACGTACTGTCAGGGGATGCAGGAATTCCTGACTCGGCTCGGGCGCAAGGTGGTTGTGGTGAACATGGACCCTGCCAACGAAGGACTCCCGTATCCCTGCGCGGTAGATGTCTCGGACCTCGTCACTCTGGACGATGTGATGGAGGGCTTGAAGCTCGGACCCAACGGCGGGCTCCTCTACTGTATGGATTATGTAGAAGCAAACCTGGACTGGTTAGAGAACAAGCTGAAGGAGCACAGCGACTGTTACTTCCTGTTCGACTGTCCTGGACAAGTGGAGCTCTACACCCACCAGAGCTCAGCAAAGAACATCTTCTCACAGCTGGCCAAGTGGAACTTCAGGGTGAGCTTCTGAAACAATCACGTGGATGATGATGTAACACAATGCAGATCACAGGTCTTATAACTCTCCCACCCGTTTCTCTCTCCTCTTTAAGCTGACATCCGTGCACCTTGTGGACTCCCACTACTGCGCTGACCCAGCCAAGTTCATCTCTGTGCTCTGCACCTCGCTGTCCACCATGCTGCACGTGGAGCTCCCCCACGTCAACATCCTCTCCAAGATGGACTTGATTGAGCAGTATGGCAAACTGGGTAAGTTGAGGGCTACTGGCTTTTACCTCACAGACAAAACAAACGTTACCGCTCTCAAAAATATTTCACAAATGAGTCTTACGGTGACGTGTTTCCTTATTCCTTATCCTTGCACAGCCTTCAACCTGGACTTCTACACAGAGGTCATGGATCTGACCTATCTCCTCGATCACCTCGCTGCAGACCCCTTCTTTAAGAAATTCCACCGTCTAAATGAAAAGTTGGCGGAGGTCATACAAGATTACAGCCTCGTCTCCTTTGTGCCTCTCAATGTGCAGGTATCACGGTTTGCTGTTTTTAAAAATAATTTATCGTTATATATATTTCAACAGAATGACCGTCAGGTTTAATATAGTCTACACTGCCGGTGGTACATGCCAGTGAGACGTACTATTACTATTATTCCAATTGAAATAGACTTCAGGGAATTAAAAGTGTAATCGCTGGAGTTCTCCTGATTCTGAAAGGGATTAAGTGGCTCAAGCTAATATACAGTAGAGGCCAGCTGTACATGGCTGTCATCAACCTTCTGAATTTAGAGTAATTGAATGAAAAGTAATTTATATAGGTTATATGCTGAACCATCTTTAGTTGTTTCAGGTATAAAATGTAACATATTTTCTCTCAAAGCTCAGGTTTCATGCTCTGCAGCCATCATTATAACACGAAAACACCATTCCTCTGACCAGCCATTGGTTGTTGTTGTTGCTGCAGGAAGGTTAACACTGATCTACTGTATATTGCACACTGCTACACACAAAGCTCACTTTTTTTTAAAAGCAGGTCATATCTCAGTGATTACCAAATGTCAAGTCTGCTTTGAGCTAAATCCCAAAACTCACAGACCTAATGTAGCCTGACCAGCTCCATCAAACATGCCATGAATACAGAAGTCAAGCCTTGAAGGCTCAGGGTCAAGCTTTTTATCAGAGTAATACATTTTTGCCGATTAACGTATTTGACACCAAATATTCATTAATTATTCTCGTGTTATCTTTCCATTCTGTGGACTGATGAAAGGCCACTGAGGGATGATGATGATGTTATTGTAGATAGAGGTGGTGAAGGGGTTTAGTACCCACACAACATCCATACTGAGAACAACTTGCTGAACAGAAAATCACTCAAAGACAAATTTCATCTCCTCAACAGGTCAATCATAAATCATTGTTAGCATCTTAAATCTAGCTCTGGATCAGTTTTCCACAGATGGATGGGACCGTTATCGGGGAGCGTTTTGTGTGCACTTTATTCGTTCCTCTGCATTATGTCCTCATGGAGACTGATACGAGCCCGTCTGTGTACCCAGAGAAAGGAGTCTAGACTGCTGTGCCATTACTGCGTATGGGACTATCAATTCATACCAATGGCAGGTTGGCACTCTTGTTTCCATCACGCTGAACGATGAGCCTTGAAGCTGCTATCGTCTTTTCTACCCCCCCTTTAAATTAAGCAGCTGCTGGTTAAACGGCACATTTAAAAGGGCAGAAACCCACAGTTTTGACTTTGAGAAGGACAATATGCTAAACTCTTGAGCATCGGAGGAACTTTTGGATTTCATGGCTTTATATGCACGTGTAGCTGATCTCAAAATACTAAACCTTGATGAACACATTTCAAGGCTGAACGGGCTCATTTCAAAGAGGGTTGAGGACCAATGAATCAAGTCAACACGGACTCTTGATAGGATCACATACTGCATACTGATATTTCAGAAACCAGAAATGCATTATTTTTAAAACTGCATTATCAATGTTTTATTAAATGTTTTTTTCGGTGAATTACAGAGAAAACCCCCCAAAATGCTTCTCTTCTCTGTCTCCAGGACAAAGAGAGCATGATTCAGGTCTTGCGAGCCGTGGACAAAGCCAACGGCTACTGCTTTGGAGACCTGGAGGAGAGGAATCTGCAGGCCATGATGTCAGCTGCTGTGGGGGCAGACTTCCAGTTCGACTCGTATCCTTTCCTAATCACTACGGTGACTCACGGTGACTCATCTGGTTTAAAAGCAAACCTTAAGATTTACGGAAAAGTGACTGAAAGACTGAATATTCTGGTGTTTCTAATGACCGAGAATGAATTGTGCTTAAAGTAACCTGACTCTTACAATATACTGTACATGTTAAGATGTTATATTTAGTTTCCTTGACTAGTACTTCAGCACTCTTGGAGTGCAAGAGCGATATGTTGAACCTGGGGGAAAGACCGTGGAGGAGGAAATGATGGATCTGTAAAGTGAAAAGCCCAAATAAAAAGGACAAAACTAGTTGCCTTTTTAGCACCAGTATACCAAGGGAGTCTTGGCAACATCCATCTAACTTGGCCTGGATTCTGAGCCTCTCTGCTAAAGTGGCAGTGGAGAGATGGGATCTAAATTTGGGTGTTGTAGATGCTTCAAGGTTGCACCACACCTCATAAAAATCCCAATAAGGAACACTGAAGGGAGTGAATGCAAAGCTTCAGATTCATCGTATTTTGTCACAAGGACGTTTTCAATAAATGCCGTAACATTTTCTTGAAATGTATCAAATGTAAAAGCCATCAATTAGGATTTGTTTTGTTAAATGAGTACGGTCTCCTCGTTTTATGGAGCACAGAGATATCCCCACGGGTATGTATCATGTGGAGGTCCTATTCATTCTGAAACAAAGACTGCAATTAATATAAGCATTGTTTTGGGTCTTCTCCTTTTGGAATGCATTAACTGAAAATAAAAGATTCATGCTGATGCTCCTTGGTGCTTATTATAGATTGCTGTTGCATAAATGTAGTCGTTAAAGAGTGTTGTGTTTGTTTTAGAATTGGAGAAGTATGGTAAAGATGATAGAGGATTTGATCTTTCATCATGCGTGCCCTCCTGCCATGTGCATATATTAGTGAGGAGCACGACTGACAGATGCAGAACAGACCCTTCCCTTGATCTGTAGTGGAAAATAAGGGAACTTGACAATCGGCAGTGCCTCAGAGATGCAATCGCGTGTGCGTGCAGTGGATAAGTAAATAACAAACACTTCATATTTTATGTTTATGAAACAAATTGTAATATTCTTATCCGTAGGTCAAATACTAAGCAGGCCAAATTTGATTTCCAAATTTTAAAAAAAATAGTTGTCTGAACAAATGCAATACCAAATATAATACTATGTATTGTGTAAACTATGATTCCAATGTGTTTTATTATAATGATGCAACATTTGCAGAGCTTTCTGTTCTGTACAAATGGATATTTTGCAACATGCTGGGTAAAATCTAATAAATCTAAATAAATCATGGGATACCTCATTATAACATAACTGCATAATGTCCAAAGATCAACAAAATCAAAAAACATTGCCAGCACATCAGAAGTAGTGATGACTTTAGCCAGAGCCGAGTCCTTGTATGTTAGGGCCTATCTTTTGTCCAGCAGATGGCACATGCGCTTGCAAATCCTACTCCCAGATCCACAAAAAGTCTGCTCCACCTTTTACCAGCAGCCAGAGCAGAAAAATTAAGTCAGGCGGGGAGAGGAAGCTACATTAAATCTGTTTCTGCACAACTGGCCCTGTGTCTGGTCTCTGGGATGGAGGACCCTCTGTCTTTATAAAAGCAACTAAAACTCACTTCTGAACTTGGGGGGGATCACTTTTCCCACTGCTGCCGCTGTACTCTGTCCTAACCGTGAAACCCAGTTTAAAAAAAACCAACATCCGCATTATAAATGCACCTCCCAACATCAAAATCCCTCGTGCACACACGTCGAACACGAGGCGCGTGAGTGCATATACTTCCCATGCATCGCTGGAGCCAGTCTAAAATAAAGCGTGATCCACTTTGCGAGCTCGCACCGACGTCGGAAATCACATTAACCTTGTGTGGTATGATGTGCCTGAGAAATTATATATGCCTGCAACACTTCTCTGCTCTTCGGTGCATTAGGGGGGTGTGTCAGGAAGATTGTTAAATTGTGTTCCAATGTTTGTACATGTGATCAAGTATGCATTCCCACTGGTACTTCCTGCCTTTTTTCAACCCGTATAAGACCCCTAGAGGTGGATGTGTGTGTGTGTGTGCGTGTGTCGATAGTGAGATAAGAATTACACCCAAAATCTAAATTTTAATCGATGCCAAATCTAACTATTAAACGCCTCATACATCTCTACATACACTGACATGTCATTCTTTTAAATTAAGACTCCCCCAGCCTCGCACGCATACACACACACACACACACACGCACACACAATTCTCATTGCTGCTCAATGCTGTGCACACACCCTGTGCGTTTTGTGGATGCCAAAAATGTCTGCTTCATTTGACTGAAGAGAGGAGGGGGACAAATGCTCCATTTTTCTAATTGTTGGGAGACTTTGAAACTGTTCATGCGTCCTCTGTCTG